TGCTTGTCCGCTCGTGCTCAGCCGAATCTGTAAATACCCTTAAGCTAATCACCCAAGCTGATATAAGTCAGTTGAAACCCGACCTCAGTCCCTCGTGGCATCCTGTTATTCAGTCCTTCAGAGAAACGGAACTACCGAATTCTTTTGTTGCTGTTCATTCGCATTCGAATTCAAAGTGTTTTATTGGTCACCTATGCGAACTGAAAGCAGCTCCTGAACTACGTACTACTGCTTTTCCTGTTCAACTACCGGACGAGTTAACTGTGACAGACAAATCGATGATGGCTTCAAATATTACGTCAGTGTCGATAGATTCAGTTCGTATCCTTTTAACAATTGTGATAAGCAACTGTACAACAGCTGTGTACAAGCCTTCTTATATCCTGATTACTTTGGTGCACTGTTCCGAACATGCTTATTCCACACCGCTACGATGGTGTGCTATAGACTTACCCGTCGAATCACCTGTTTCATCCTTCACCCTGTTGGATAGATTGCCGGACGGTCCCACGCGCCAATACCTGTTTCATGCAGCTCCGACGCTACTTGCTGGACGGGCATATATGAATTTATTCGCTTGGTGTGTGGCTCAGCTACTTACTCCGTCAGAAAATGCTTTGATGCCCTTACAACTTTCTTTCCAAATGCCCATGGATTCCCCCGTGTTTCCCATAATGACACGTACAGAGTTGTTCCATCAGTTGGTTAAGTTGACCAGAGTTGCATTTTTATACGATTCCCAGGGGCGAACTGTACACTTCTTGGGTGGTTCAAACGTCTGAATCTACGCGAAGTGTATTGTTTCGCGGTCGATGCATGTGTGGCAGACGAATCGATCAACTTGATCAATTTTTTTTGGATTTGGCTTTTCACATGTGAATATGTTTAGAGTTTCATATATTTTATTGTTATTTTTGTACCAATCAATTATTTACTTTCATCTTCAAGTTCTGTCCCTTTGGATTATTCGACGGCTAATGAATATCCTAACATTCACATTTAGATGCTTGATGATTGCACTGGAAACGGCATGAAGCGTTTGTCTTATTGGTAGTGATACTCGCCCCATGGATTATCGAAGTCAAGGAAATACTATATATACCATGGAGATAAATTTTCCTTAACCACATAACGAACAGAGCATGAAAACGGTAATACAAACACCCAATACATGTTACAAATCCGGAAACAATATTTATGGTGTTTGTAATTTCCAAGTTAACCAACTCGGGATTGGCTTCAGCTATAGAAAGCTATGGTATGCAGGAATATCAGAATGTTTATCATTATTTTATTTTACAATTAAAGTGATTTACAGCAAAATCAGTCAATGACATATTGTCAAAGGAGCTAGGTGTGCAATCTTCATTTTGAGAAACAATTTACTGTTCATGTTTTTTTAAATAAAAACCATTACGAATGGATATATACATATACATATCACATCTGAGTTCAGTCTGTGACATGCAACTCACGGTTTAATTATCTTCATAAAAAAATGTTCCCTGATTGGTTTGTGGGCGGAATACTGCCAGGTTGCTGAGGTCAAAGCATGTAAATTTTCTTGGGCAGTTCACAGACGGAGTCCCCGGCTAACCAAAGCCCGACTCGCAAGGCAGCGGGGCGCTGTGTAAAACCCTCAATCCAATAGAGGCCTGTGCCCAGTTCATCGGATCATGCGCAATTTGGACGGGGTCAAACGTCCAAGGTGCCCAATACAGCTCGATGCCTTATCGAGTGGGTGACCCACACTACCAGAAAAATGTGTGCGTGGTTCGTACGTCTTTTCTTAGTTGGTTTAGATTAGGGATTTTTAACCAACTCCCCTGGATTAATCGACCCGGTTTTAAGCCCGGATATTGGCGTTTTATCTTATCACCGCCCCGTGAAGACAGACAGCATTGGCTATTTGAGACGCTTGATTTTATAGGAGCGTTTTGCGAGGTGCAAGGAATGAGTGACCAGCCACGGCTCAATCCAACCGCTCCCGACCATTACTAATCTTTCGGAGGTAATGTTTCATAAGGCAGTTCGTAGCTGGAAGAAGATCAAGAGTGATCAGGGTAAATTCTGGTATGAGAGTATGAAAACCCGTGATCAGGACTCTCGGCCAATTGTGTCGCATAAGGCTTCGTGGTAGGAGACCTCTTGACCAACCACATCGAGGGTTAGAGGAAAGTAATCTGTCTGCGTCGTAAACCGTCGTGCTCGTACGTCTGCTTGCTTTCCATGCTGATTTAGTTTTACCGCTTTCCCCATTCATTATTTCCATCNCTTGCTCTTCACCTTAACCTTTTTGTTTTATTCCTCATTAGTCTTTTACTCGATGGGTAGCCGAATTATTATAACAAAGGCCATAGCACGACAGTTCAAAGTAATGCTTGTGAAAGCTGAAGCATTCATTGTGACTGAATTCATAAAAATTGCCCAATTATTTAAAGAAGTTTCACTCCAATAAGGTAACAGATGCCACTTGATGCGTTTACAGTTGCAACCTTTAAAATTGATTGCATTTTCCTTTATGAATGAGGACAAGTGAAAAATGATTCATCTCTGTCTACAGATACGTGTCCATTGTACCTAGAGAAGTGAAACGAACTAGTGGTGTTGAACTACGTTCTTACCTTCATAGCATCGCATAGAGTTCCTGGGGCAATCAGAGAAGCAAGGTTTTAGGTCCAGCTGGATGTTCTTTACGTCCCGTAAAGTATATGTTCGGAAAGTGCAGCTGACTGCATTTTTGAGGTAGGATGTTTTTTCACTAAGTTGCAGGACTTAAAGTCAGTCTTCGAGATGATGGGCCACAAGCAGCTAGCTCACCTGGTGTACCAAGAAAACCCTGATTCCAAACCTAGTCGGGCGAAGCATGTGAATAGGCCCAAGTTTATCTTGGTCCTGAGTGCACCGTTAAGATTACTCTAAGGTTGTATTCAGCACGCAGAAAGTATTAAACTTCTGTCGGGAGAGTAAACTCCGACTCACTATTGTGCATTTTTATTACGCAAAAACATTAAATACAGTAAAGAGGCAAACCCCATAATCCTAAAAACCACTGTACAGCGGGGTGGGAATATTCATCTCAAACACGGACGTTGTTTTGCTCAAGTAGGCTTTACGCGACGGATTTTATCACATGCATCTGGAGTGTCCGAAAGTGACTAAGAATTTCTCTTCCTACCTTGTTCAAAGACCAACAGTCGGTGGACTTGTTCCAATACGTACCCCGACTGGTTCACAGCAGATTTGTCCTAAATTGTTCCTGAGTTCGCCGCTTTTCCCACATGTGGACATTTTTGATTGAAATATCGGCACTGAATTACAATTATCACTGGCCATATTCTGAATGCAGCAGGTGAAACTACTGTAGACCATTTTTCACGATGCCTGTCCAAGAGCTGAAAGAGTTATGCATGCGCATGTTGCGGTCCACTCCTCGTCAGACGGACACTGATTCCTATGTTTACTAGGTAAAAAAAGAAAGGGCACGATAGCGGAAGCTGCAGTAACATGTCAATCATTGTTCGCTTTTGATTAGAATGTGCGCTCCAACACTAGCACGAAAATGATGCAGTGTCAGGTTTTTTAGCGGTGTCTAGATGCCAAAATCTAGCTCCTAGTATAGCCCCATATTTGTCAGAAGAACCTGGTCGGGGCAAATGGAAACTGTTGTTTAGACATTTTCGACGATCGATGGTGGTGGGGTTATTTAAAACTAGGCTGTCGCTCTGCTCAAGGGGATGGGGTGGGGTTATGTGCTATCTCATTTAACAGGCAAAAGTGGAAAAGTATTTTAAACATTCCCTGTCGTGAAATATTATTGTCGGGGTATGTAACTTATTAAACCGAAAATAGGTTTAAATTACTATTTAGCAGTTTCAGGGGATATTTGAAGTTCGGTTTGTCTAGTGTTATCTTAGATTAACTATTTGTGTACATATGAAAAATCAATTAGACGTAGCCTTTCGGTGTTTCTGATTAAATTAAATTGTCCTAACCTTTCCACGTTACGCGGTACATTGGACAAATGAGGTCGATGCCTAAGGCTTACTTGTGCGTAACAACGGTGGACTTCATCGTAACTGACAAGTGGTCAGCTGATAGGTACGGTTATTTCAAAGGCGGTCAATTACTGTACAAAAGTTTGCCAGTTGTACTTCGTTCGNGATAAAGATATAGTCTGTGCTGAGATGCGTACGAGTTTTCTTTGAGCCGAATCTCTGTTTATAACCTTGTAGTGAACTGTTTTGCTGTCATGTAGTTGTAGGGTACATATTTGCTCGAGTTTAGCAATTCAATAATGCTATTTTAATTAGTTCATCATATATCATGATATTGCTCTTCGGGAGAATAAATGATTGGAATTTTTTTAAAGAAGGTGATACTTATTTGCTCCATAGGTTGCAGACAACAATGGACGTATAGGATTCATGTTGGTGATTTGGGCCCTGGGTAAGGAGCATGGTGCAATCCGTCTT